CGCCGCGCTGGCGGGACATCACGGCGTGCGCGCTACTCCGGTCCCGCCTGCTACACAGGCAGAAGGTACTGATTTAACCTGTAGTACGTGTGAAACAGACAAGGAATACAAGCGTTCAGGTACTTTTTGAGTGGCTTTGGACTTGTCTTCCTGTGACTGACCAAGTTAGTCTGCACAACAGCAGGGGCAATGGTAACACTGTCAATTTCACAGAAATAATTCCTACTTGGGTTTGTAAACTGGTTTATCAGCTTTGATGAACAGTACGACAGAAATGCAACCATTTATCCTGCCCCAAGGAACTAGCATATAAGCTACACAAAGAATGGCGATGCCAAGCTCTGGAACGGGGACGGTGGGGAAATCAGGGCCTTGCACATCCTTCGTGGCGTTAGTTCTCCAGACTAACTACAACTCCACATGGCTGGTTTCACCCCCAGGGAATACCGTGCAGTGCAATGACCACAATCTACTGGACTACACCAGAGCAGGGTGACATGGCTGCTGTCCCATATGGCTCGCATAAAAACTAGGTGTGCTCTCCATAAAGCTATTTGATCCAGTAGCTTTAAAATAAATGGCTCAGTGCTACATCTGTAATGTGAATAACGCCACTGAAGTCACAATGCTACTTGAGGGAAAGGATTACATTCCAGATATGTCACTATACAGGCTGTGAGGCCTGAGTCTTTTGAACTTGCTATAGATCAGAATGTTTTCAAGATAAGGGAACAGCATATTTAAATGATGCATCTCATGCAGAAGGGTGAACCACCATGCATTCAGCTCTTCTACTACACAGCCCTACCCTGCAAAGTTAGGTTTACTTTCAGGACAAATCTTCCAGGAGTTGGTCCTTCCAAATGTAAATGCCATTCATTTACAGAATGAATGAAGTGAGAAGTGAGTGTGAGGCTGGGCAGCCTGGTCATTTTACATCCCTGTCACATCAAGCCTTGACTAATGGTATCTCAAAATGTATTTAACTTTAGTAGCAAGGAAAAGAATACAATGAACATTCAGCATTTTAGAATTTCATCTAACTCAGATTCTGAGCAGATGTAAAAATACCAGATACTTCATACTAAGAGGAAATAGCAATACTAAATGAGAAACTATAGAAAAACCACAATGCATAAACATATGCTCTTTTCTCAGAATGTATATACTACAAGAACCCCCACCAAACTAATTTAAAAAAAAAAAAAAAAGACAATATCAGTAGCAACCCCCTGAAATGCCATATATATTGAGAGGCAAAACAGGCCTATACTACAATATAAGACTGCAACTGTGACTTTTAACTGTGTGTTAAAAGAACCAGGCTCCACTGAACAGGGCTGTAACAGAAATATGCTCCCTACATCTAGGAAGAAAGGAAAATGTAGCATATACTGTCTAGTGAGTTACAAATTTCAAGAATTCAAGGTCCTACTACTGAGCTAAAAAACACAGACTAGCAAACAGAGTTACTTATACATTACTTCTGTAGTAGTTTGGTTGAACAACTCCATGGGCTTTTCTAACATACAACAGACATATACACAACATATAGGAAACTGTTCAATAAACGTAGTTTCAGTATGAAACAAACCATTTGCCACAAGTACGTGCCATACCTTACACGTAATGCCTTACACGCATGCCGCTGCACGACTGCATGGCCTGTGGATCTAATTCTCTTGCTCAGCAGTGGCAAGGTTGGGCTCTCAGAGGGGTTCACAGGGGCCTCTGTGTTACAGTTTGGGTCCTTTGGCCACTAAGAAGCTAAACTATAATTTGATCTCTCACCGTGCAAACGCTACGAACAGCACTTCAAAGCAAGTCTGACATGCTCTCTACCAGGTAACACCACAACATGTAACACTAGGAGATAAATTATATATTTACATCCTTGACTGTTAAGATTCTATTCTTGCAAAGGTTGTTTGGGATTAGATCCTGAGGTTATGACCACCAGTCAGCATCTAGAAACCTATTTAACACATGATGTTATAATCTTTATCTGCAAAAGTAACACAGAAAATCTTTGTGATTCAGGATCCTTACCTCCTCTGGAAAAATAAAAATCAGGAAAAGCTTCAATATCTTTGGATAATCACAACTACAAGAGGAAAGAGCAAAAATAAAGCTATGAAACTATCATGGCATCATGGTCATAATATTTATATAAGTATATAAGTGAAATTGTTAATGACTATAACGTCCTGGAAAATTAAATCTATGGCTTAGAAAGCAAATTCAGATTAAAGTGCATTAGATTTGGAGGATGCTTAGATAAAAGAAGTTGAAATATTTGTTTGTATTTGTTCTCAAAGTTAAAGGGGAGAACAGGATGAATTTTAGTCAAGAACGTGCAGGGATATCTTCTGTCTCAGGAAAATCCCTATATTATCATTTACATTGTTTATGTACATTGAAATTTTGAAAGTTGTAAGTGTGGCAATTACATAACTATTTATAGGGCTTACTATTTCAGTCAAAGCATAGCACTGGCAATTTAGATAATGAAAATTGCTTTTTATTATATTGAATTTCGTAATATAGTTCACATAGATAGAAACACACACTTACCTTATTTCCATTTATTTCCTGGGTAGAGTACCAGTTTTGTTCCTTTTTTTTTTCACTTGTTAAACTAAATGCATACTTTGTATCTGAGTACCATTTTCACATACATGCCAACTGCATTTCTAGGATTCTAACGTACCTTCACCACGGGATTACACCAGATTTACTTGTAATTATTAGCCATGTAGAGTCAACTACGCTTTTAAACTGCAAAGTTTTGTGTTTTTATTTTTCAAATGGACAGCAAGTTTTACTAATCGCCAGCCCAAAACATTGTAGATGATGCATTGTCACTCTTCAGTGCTCTGTTAGACGGGCGGCAGCCAATTTGCCTCCTTTGTTAGAAAGATGAGTCAACAGATTTAAAATGGTCTTTTTACATTTCTAAGTAGAACTTTTTCCTCATAGATCCAGAAATTCAGTACAGTTTTTATAGAAGGCGGCAGTACAGGTTTCCTAGAGGCCCCCAGCAGAGCGCCCTTCCTGGCTGACAAAGCAGAGCGGTCGACGCACCATTTCTTCTTGGCTGAAATTAGCATATCAACATTTCTTTTATCAGGAAAGTATTACCAGACCAAACAGGCTAGAAAGTCTTAGATTCTGGAGAGAAAAAAAAAAAAAATCCTGAGGCAGTGTTTTGGGAAGTGCCAGGCAAGAATAAACTCCCTGAGGAAGCTTTTTCCTTATCCGTCACAGATTTGTCCGGTACAAATTTGAAAGTACCTGCAGAGGATGGTACCTACGGGCTCATAATTCAGCTTCCTGCCCGAAATTTTTACCACAGATGACACCAACGAGGCCTAAAAGGCTGACTGACGTTTAAGTTCTCTGGGAATACCTCAAAAGTTTCCGAAACTTAAGGCCTCGGTCCAAGTGAAACCCCGCCTCTGCCTCGACGCCGCTCCGGACC